GAAGTCATTTATTTAAATATAACAATACAGTCTATTACAGTGCAATCAATCCCTAAAGCCGATTTCTTATAAGGTGATGTCTTTATATACTTTGTAAAGATATTGAATCTCCATTTTGTGTTGAATGCTTTCTGTTTTCATTTTTGTTTTTCTTGTCTCTTTTTCTATGGTTTGAGGATATCTTGTCTTTCCTATTTTGACTTCCTCTTCATTAAAGTTCTTATTTTATCTAAAAGAAGTTACCTTCAAAAAACCCAGTAGGAGAGAGACCCGTGTTGCATCAGAAGCAGCAGAAAAGCCTGCACTCTATCACATTATATTGGGTTAGGATGGAAAGATAGGCTTCTTCCAGGCATGCATGAATTCATCAGATGCAAGAGCAGAAACTCCAATTCTGTATATATAGTGTACCTGCAGGATTGATGCAGCATAATATAGTACACTTGGCTGCCCTGTGATCTGTCATTAAAGATGATCAGAGATGTGAATAAAAGTGTAACATATGATCACTTTATGAATACCATTTAAAATGTTAAGTACCTGTTGAAACACTAATATTCCTACACCAATAACAAGGGCTTTCAAGCACTTTCCACGGAAAATTTCTGCCAATGTAACCTCTTTTTCTTCACCAACAAGAGACAGCTCAGCCAGGATCCCATCTACTTGTTGAAGTGCTGAATCACCAATTGCTTGACCCCTTAGCTGGCACAGGCAACAGATTGCAGCCTCTCTTAAAGCCTGGATATCGCCTTTTCCTTGTACGGCACATAATAATAGCCATCTAGGTGATGGTGGCAGACACCACATACCGATTACCATAATCACTGCCAGTGGGGTGCTAGCTCCATACATGTACCGCCAACCAGCTACTACATCTATTAGAAGGCTACCAATTCCATAACCTCCCTGCACAAAATTCGAGGTATTAGCAACTAAAAAACATTAAAGTGAAATTGAACTAGTGGAGAAGGCTTCAAAAGAAAAGGGAAAGGGATCCAATCAATTACTGTTGGTTCCATGGCATGGATCATACAACCTAAAATACACTAGTCCATAGAGCAAAGTCGAAAACTTACAACCATCCCAAGAACAATGAAGAACTCTTTGAGAGATATCAGTTGACCACGAATCTGACTTGGAGCTGTCTCAGCAATATACACCGGAGCTGCATGCATTGCCTGAAGGTGAAAGAACAGTATATAATTCTTTTGTCAAAATGGTAGTGTCACAAAGCATGGCTAAAATTAAATTGGTAAGCAGAAATAAACCAATATGGAAGAACTTTAGTATACGCCAGAATACCCTCAAACAAACTATGTGATTTTGATTTTAATAGACTATTATATTTGTTTGCTTAATTTCTGAAATTTGGGATTAGGAAATTTAAATGGGGTGTAGAGATTTTACTTAATGGTTTCCTTTCCTACTGTTATAATTATCTCAAGGAAATTCAGGATTAGGAAAAGTATTTACTTTCTTTTATTGTTTGCTGTTCCACAAATAATCAATTTTACTACAACTCGTAACAGATTGCAAATTCTGTTAACTCAGCATAATCTATGCAATTTATCACAGAGAATGTGAAAAATGTAAGCAAAAAATGAAAAGAAAGACAACAAACAGACAATGAACAATGTGGTCCACTCTGCACTGACCAATATCTATGATAGTTGCATACACTGCTCTGACATCAAACTCATAGATAAAAGATAAAATTCCATGATCTCAGGTTCAAGTAAAACACTCTACTGAAATATATGTTAAACATCATTACACAATATGAATAGTCATCATTATCAGTATCTGTTCATGTTCTTAGACATAAAAAACTAACATGCAAATGTATAGCTATCCACATGCATAGATGCAGGCATGCACACACCACAGCTGCCCACAACCATGTCAAGAGTTCATTAGTCAAAAGAGCATAATTGTTTATTACCAGTCCAATTCCTATACCATATACAAATCTCCCAGTCACCAAAATAATAAAGTCACGTGCTACTGATGTCACAAAGGGCTCCAGCAAGATACAAGAAAGCAGCCAGAATCAACTCCCTTCTTCTTC